ACTCAAAGGAGATAAAGTCCATAATAAGAGCATGAATAAATGTAAATCAGAGGAGTCCTGAAAATATGCTGTAGCAAAATATTTTTTCATACTCACAAGAACACAGGAAAGTTTGTACACATAATACATCTGAAATGTCTCTAGACTTAATTTTACAGGGCTTCCCTGTGATATAGAAATGCAAACAGATTTCAGTAATTTTAATATAATCAAGCTGTGATTATGGTCTGAACCACTGTTATTCATAGCCAACACATGCTTGTAGTTTTATTTTTCTCAAAATGGATTGTTGTGTTTTTTCTTCCTAGCAGTTCAGGTACTACAAAGAAGCAATATCTCTCTCTCTTTTTTTTTTTTTTTTTTTTTTTTTTAAACTTGCTCAGAAATGTGTGATATAGATCTTAAAAAATTCATTTCACAGTCTGACAGACTTTTTCAGGAAAACGGATATGAAGCAAGCACAAAATTGCTTGTGGGCAGCAGACACATGAGCTAGATCCCTGGCTTTTGTCCATTTGCTATTCTTACTAATTCTGTCGACTGGCTTGTTAGACCCTTGCTAATATTTCTTTTTTCTTTTGATTTACATAAAGAGGTATCTGTTTATTGCAGAGTTAGTTAATACTTTACAGGGAAAAATCTACTCTGTGAGCATTTTTATCTCTGTAATATACATTGTGATATTTTGAAAACCTTCTGCATATATTTTCATGTATATGATTTGTACCTTTCCCGAACATTCAGTTTTGTGCCGATAGATTATTACAAACTGTTTACTATGTATATATTCAATTTTCCTTTTTTTAATATATTCAGAAACATGATTTGAAGACTTCCTTGTCTCACTTCCATGTCCCCATTCAAATTTGTCTTCACTTTCATGTGATATGTTTCTTAAGTTTATATTGTACATTTCTTCAGATTGGCATGTAGATTTAGCCAAATGAATCCACTCTGGCCCACCTGTGCTGCAGAACCTCTGTTGTGGCGAATGTAACTAGCTAGAAGATTGTCTTTTCTCCCTGATAGTTTAAGAAGAATGCCTGAAGAATTTAGTTTCTAGTGAGACAAGGAGCCAAGTCTGCACTGCTCATTATGCTGGAGTAGCTGGCAGGATTTTGTAGTGGAGATGCTGTGGACGTCAACAAGGACTGTTTTTGCTGGAGTGGTTATCACACCTCTCCCAGTGACGTAAGCTAAGCCAACGAAAGCATTTTTTTTTTTTTGTTGGCTTAGCTGTCTCCAAAGCCTGCCTGTCTTTCCAGTGCAGCAATGACAGGCAGTAACCCATTTACTCTCGCAGGACTGTGAGCAGCTGTACTTTTACATAAGGAAGACCTCTGTGAAAGAGTTGAAGCTGTTAAAAGCTTTGTGCATATTATTTGCTATATTCCCTAATTGTATGTACTTTTATATGTACACAGCTAACTGACAATACCATAGCTCATTTATTAAGATGAAATTTATATCTTAAACTGTTCTCTGAGAACATTTTCAGCTAAGAAAGTTGAGACTTCCAGAAATTTGGTCTCTAGAAGCTCATAATTTCAAATAAGCTTCTGTAGGTTTGACTGCTAAAATACTCTTGAAAGTGAATGTTCATAGGTTATTTGATTCAAAAGATTTTTTTTTTTTAATTTACTCACCAATATTGTTTGTTTATTTGTTTTTAACAGGAAACACTGGATGCTCTGATAAAGTCTGAACATATGACAGATGAGATCAAAACTCAGTTAAATGATCTTTGTAGATTTTCCAGAGATTTGAGTACGCATTCTTCGAAAGTTTCAGGGTTGATTAAGGAGTATAACAGGTACACATTCATCTTGTTTATAGCTAATCAGTCCCATGTGGGGGGGGGGGGGGGGGGGAGCTGTCTTGTAGGGAGCCATTAATTAGAAACAGAGGTATACAATTATTAGGATCATTATTTTGATTTTGGTGTCAATAGAGGCTGTAAAAAGTAGCAATTTGGAGTTTTTTTCCTAAAAGCCAGGCTATGCCACTAAACTCATCTGAAACTAACGTATATCCACACCTGACCTTTTACAGGAGGAATCCTTGTAAGAAACTGTGAGGTAGCACTATGGCTTATTTGTCTGAAGGAGTAACAAGCTATACCAGCTATTTAAGATCTTTTTCTTAATTTTGTCCTTTGGTTTACTCTTCTTTGGCTGGCTGGTTCCCTGAAACAGGGGAACGAGCATTTGCTTGCCTTCTTGCTTTCTCTCAGGTCACTCTAGCTGATTTACTTGAGAGTACGACACCTGCATTTCGGACGTAAGATTCTGTTGCCTCTTGCAGGGGGTTATAGCTTTTGGCTTCTATAGCTGCAGAAGAAGGGTGTGATGACCCAGATCGATCCCTTCTAACGTCACGAACTTAACTGAGCCACAGAAGTTAGAATTGTAACCGCTGTAGTTCTGCATCCTGTCCCTCGAGAGGGAAGGGGGCTTGCAGAAGCTGTTCGTGCTTAGGTGCACTGAGTCACTCTCTGGAAATGCTTATACCTGTTATATCTGTGACAGTTAGGTCACAATTTACATGCTTCCCTTTTAAGGAATTGAAAGCTTTTAATGGATTTCCTGGTGCCTCAGTTAAGTGCTTAAAGTTGGTAGGAGGAATCCAGGTTAACCTTCCCACTGTATTTCAGAGAACTAAGTAATAGCACTGTCACCTAACAGAGTCCTGCTTTTCCTCCTTCCCTCCCTCTCTTCCGCTTCCCTGATGTGATAAACCCAGCCTTTGCCTGCAAGCTTCAAAAGGATGTCAAAGCAAAGAGCAGATCTTGCAGCAAAGATTTCGGACGGCTTTCAGGGACTTCCAGCAGTGGCTGGTCAATGCAAAAGTCACCACAGCCAAATGCTTTGATGTGCCTCAAAATATCAGTGAAGCTTCAGCCAGTCTGCAGAAAATACAGGTAACTGTAGCAGTAAAATATTAGTCTAAGAGAGAACCAATCAGTTTCATGTAAAGCTCAGATTGAATTGTTTGGTTAATTACTATTTTTTGTTAATGTAGTTATTGTCAACACTAAGGGTGACTAATTGCAAGGAAATCAACACTTATTTTTTCCTTTTTTAATCTAGTTTGTTTAGTTTAATTGTTGGGCTATATTTTCTATGTAGTCATTGTCTCTCAGTAGTTTTCCTTGTTTGTTTCTTTTTTACAATAGGAAAAAATATGTTTTTAAAGTATGAGAGTACTGTAAAATCAGAACGATATCAGAATCGGGACTTAGTACCTGGAATTGTTTCAAAGTTATGTAAATATTTTTCCTCATATACGAAAGTAGAGCCCTCGTAGTGGAAGAACAGAGTTAAAACGTATGCAGTATGAGCAGGCATTTAAAATGTGTATTTTTCATATAAAGCTAAAACAAGCCCCACAACTTTGTGGAAAGAAATGCCCGTTAAAAGTTTATTTTAATAAAGCAAGTGAAAGAAATACTTTTATAAATAGAATATAACCATAATTTTAACTAAAAATAACAAAATGAGAATTACGTAATGAGACTGTTAAACCTTCAGTTAGATAGTATAACAGAAGAAATTCATATCAGTTTCTCAGAAAATAACAAAACCCAAATCACTTCCTCCTCTTTTTGGTAAATTCACTTTCCCTTGCTTAAATGGTTTACTTAAAAGCATAAACAATACTGTATTAATATATCAAATCTTTGACTAGCCCAAAATGAGAATATGTTTAGAGGAACTATCAAGGGAACACATCCTAGTGGTTTTTGATATTAAATATAAGACTTTTAGCAAGGTTTTGGGGGTTTTTTTTCAACAGTGGTTAAGATTTTTTTATTTACCACTGCAGCCCTTTCATAGCATAAGACCTTACTTTGTTCTCCTCCTCCCTGAAAGCTGCTTTAGATGAAATAAACTTTTTTTGACATGCAGTAGCAGCTTTAGGACTTCTAGAGATGTCTTGGTAACCTGTATGAACATAACATTTTATTTTTGTAAAAAGTTATTGTTCTGTCTGTTAGCACATTTGACATCATTAAGTCACAAGGCAATTATATCTTTGATTTTAATACAGCCAGAACTCAAACCAAGTATCTCAAAGCTAACAGACCCTTTGCATTCTCTACTAAGACCTCTATTGTAACACAGAATTAGAACCTGACTTAGTCATTATTGTATCAAGCCTGTTACTTCTGAATGTGGGTGTAACCTCATATAAAACTATTTGTGTATCACATAATCATCATAGTAACAGTTTAAAATATTGATATTGAAATTCCTTTGAGTCCTAAATGCTCACAAAATCTTTTAATAATTATAAGAACATTATCCCAGTACATTGGAATTTAAAAATCTGGCTATTCCCTTACATTTCTGTCTAATTCTTGCACATGCATTTTTTCATGCACTTCTTGCACACCAGCATTGTGCAAGATTTCTGTGAAGAAAAATACTTTCAAACAGGGCAGGTAAATTAAGGATGCAGAGGGATAAATCACGCAGCTTAGACATTGCTCAGGGTCTAAACGTCAGCCCACATCCCTACACGCTCCTCGGAAGCCCAGTGTGGCTGCTGTCTCTGCACCC